CATACCATGGAATTTTACTCCACTGAGTTAATTTTGGGGTTCATTGCTTCCAATGGGTCTTACTTTCAGATTTTCATGGAAGGAACTGTGAATAAGTTCCAGAGATATCACGTCATTCACTATTGATCGTTGCTTTCCAGATGCGTATTATAATTTTGTACGCTTACAACTGGCATAACATCTATTTTGATCAAGTGGTTCTCGTCCTGACCACACTGGATCCTTTAATAAATCACTGTGTCTGCTTGTGGACCATGAGGAAATACCGCGATGGCTATGCTTCGTCGCTGGGCAAGGTGTTCTCCTGTTTAAAGCCCTCAGAGGAAGGCATGTTCCGCTCAGCTATCACTCGAATCAGCTCTATATCAAGGCGCTCATTCAGTCGATCATCTTCATCTGCTCGTTCATCATCTATGCGAACTTCAAGAAGAAAATCTTGTAAGTTTGGATTAATCTTGATTGTAAACCTTGAAATTTTTTAAGTTTAAGATAGTTGTACCTTTTGTTGTTGTTATAGAAGGGATTGGGTTGTTGCAGGGTAACTCTCAATAAAGAATTAATTTTCATGCTTTACATAATATTTTCTAACTTCTCAATACAATAATCGAACCATGGAAGTCTTTATACTGTTAAAATAAAAAAGCCGGAACAAACAGTAAACGATCAAATGAGATTACGAAGCCAAAGAAGGAGAGAAAGCGTGAAAACCGGCAACGAAAAAGGTGGAGAAGATTTTAATTGCTCTTAGATGAAAAGCGGGAAGTACCAACCGGAATATCTAGTTGTTACAATTTCCTGTTACCCTGGCGTTTGGCTCGATGCGTGGGTTAAAAACCTTACCACGGAACAAAGTTAAAGAAGGAAATTCATTCAGGGATGACTGAGGGTGAAAAATATGACGTTAGAAATAGGCAATCGATGAATGATTGTGAATTTATTAGTCAGGTTGTTCCTATTTAGTTGGAAGATGAAATTTCTCCCAGAAAATAGTCCTTATGATCGCATCAAGTTCAGTAGGCTTTCATTATAAAACGGGAGTGAGGAGATTTCAGACTTAAATTTTTATGCTCTTGCTGTTGATTTATTTTGCACTCTGCGACAACAAAAGCACTTTGCACAAACTGCTATAAAATTCAACCCCTGACAGTTTAATGTGATCTCTCGTATCCCACGCCAACGTCTGTATATATTTTCATCTTTAATTTTCCGGCCATTGGCGATATCCTGTACAAATATAGTTATGTCACATTCAGAATGAGGATTACGCCCCAATCTTATAGTTCCAAAATCTCTAGTTTAACGACGTGCGAGAATTCCCAAAGTTAAAAATGTTTCGCGTGATGTGCATTACAAGCCAAAAATTATCTTCCACAAGAGAATATTAACGACACGCCTCCACATTGCGTGTTAAAAGATATCGATTTGCGAGGTGACGTCCGTTTTATGACCTTTTGATGCATTCTTCGCTCTATAAATATATTTAACTGATTGCTGTAAGAAGAGAGCAGGTCATAACCTGGTGTGAATTATGCTTCCTCGTATGAAACGATCCCCCTGAGAAAAGTTGACCTTTTTCGTCTTATGATCCCCTACAGCTACAACAAGACTTTCAGTTTCTGGCAGATACCACCATGCTTCACTCTCAGAGAGAAGATGTTAGCTTCATGAAATATATGTTGCATAATCTGTAATCTCGCTCTAAACGTAACAATAGTGTTTTGTGTAGGAGGAGGGAAATTTTCTCTGCCATAATTTTTCCTTGTATAATTTTTTCGCGTGCTTTTGTTATCATGTTTTTCTTAAGCACTTATAGTAATTACAATATTCACCTGTCGACCTCAATCGTGCTCAATCGACGAGGTTGTAGCGTGCTGAGTGCGATTTATTACCATACCATTGACGAGGCACGAGGAAGGCACATCTAAGTTTTTTTCCGACTTTTTTTCCAGACATTATCGTTTACATCGATATCCCACAACAATCAGTCAGAGAAACATGATTAAATTCTGTTTTTGTTATGCTTCTAAGGTTTGTAGCACCAGAAAACGTTACAAGCAAGACGATATTCAGTTAGAAAAGCTCGCTGTATAACCAAATAGCCACGAATTAATATTCAACTCAGATTCAGAAATAAACTATTTGCCAATTCAGTGCAAAATAACCCTTTCGAAAGCCATTTTCAGTTTTCTTCAATCCCAAAACTCTCCCGCAATACTGAAATAATGCTCGTAAAGAAGAGAAGAGATAAAAATTAAGACCGCAGGAGTTAAAGGAATTTATCTATAAACTGAATGAGATAGGTCCCGGCATTGACAAAGCTATACTAATGATGATGCTTGGGTTGGAGAACTTTCGAAAAGGTGTACGATGATAATGACTACAATGTTTACATTAGTTACACAAAGAATAGCGTGGGACATAGATGGCCATGGATAGAGAGAATGAGCGTGAGCGGCAATTGACGAAATTAAAGCGATTTTGTTTTTGAAAAGGCAACCCGTGATGCGACTCGCTCAAGATTTATAACTGAAAGAATATCGTGGGTCACTGCGCCTGTTAATTTTGGTTTTTATTTATCATCTAACGAGACAACTCTTTTTTTTCTTCGTAGCTGCCGCACATACGTATAAACATGTAACTCAAAATAACCCGGATGTTCCAGCACTTGTAGAGGCTCAAGTCGGTGGTGAAATTCAGTCCGATCCTAAGGAACTTGTGGAACAAGGACATTCAGACGACCCTTAACGAAGGGCCCATCATACTAGAGGTAAAAAAAAATGATGTGGCCTTTATGAAAAATGAATGGATTGCTTCTCACCCCTCCCCCCTTGAGAATGGCGCGTTCTTTTGGAGAGAGAATCGTGATGAGGCGTGTCAGAAGTGTGTGAGGATTCATTTCCAAGCTATGTGACTTTGATAATCTCAGTATCATGATAGTTGTTTTGTTTTTCTCAAATGGAATGTAGTTAATTTCCGTTATAAGCCGTGACACCCTTGGCCTCTTGCATGCTTGCTTTGTAATGATCTCATTCTGAAGTGTGAGTGCAAGATCTATCGAAGCCTCTCTTTTGTTTGTTTTTCAGCTACAAGAATTATGTAGATCACTTTCGCAGATTACTTACCTTTTTCACTATGAACTTCACACGCTTTGGATTGCGAACATTTGAACAACTCAGCGTTCGTTCTGGGGAACGGAAGAGCAGAAATGGTTCTTGGAAGTGGAAACAGTGGAAACAGTGGCAATGACGGAATTAAGGGCAATCGATTAAGTGTTAAAAATGAACATTCTTAACTTATTATATTACGTGATTCGCCGCCCTAGACCCACTGCAAAGTAAGCCTTGTGTTCACGTGACCAAACTAAAACTTTTTCCCTTTTTGGCAGTTTTTACCACAATGGAATCGCGTAACATTTCTTAAAGAATTCAAAACTAAGAATACTGATGGGGTCATATCTTTTAGCCGTGTACGAAATCCTTCATCGACCAGCTTTTCAGCCAAGAGGGCTGGGCATCGACCACGAACTAAGTCATCCATGATGCAGCCATCTTAGCCTCACACGTGGTCAAGAACCTTTATATTATTAACCAGCATGGCTTTTTGCCACTCTTTTAAATCAAGCGAAAGCTAGGGCCGAAATCATTCTGTTCTCTTGGTAGCGTAAATTTTCTAAAATTCTCTGAAAATGGTTGTCGCGTAAATCCGTAAGAAATCTTACTTCTATGCTATCGCAACCTCTAAAACTATAATAAACCTCCAAAACTCACAGCGAAAGAGAAAGCACAACAACCAAGTGACAGGGGGGTTGTTAGTTTATTTATTTACTCGCTGATTCCTTCATTTAGCCGCTAGCTTCTTACAATCGGCTTAGACCGAATAATCGACAGTCAGCTCCCACTTGCAATCGAAAATAACGCTAAAAAAATCCTCGTACTGTGAACCTCAAGGTACCAAAGCACGTGATTCCATTTTTAGAGCACCTTTCGCCTGAGTTTCGTGAAAAAAAAAACCAAAGTTATCACGAAGACCAATCAGAAGACAGGTAAATACCCTTAAGAGCCAATGAGAACTCAAGGGGAAAGTAAGCAAACCGTCCAAAGCGCGCGAAAACGTGGGTGATGAAAACGTGATATTCTATTGGTTGAGAGTGGCGCGAGTGTTTTTGGACCAATCACAAAAACAGAATAAATCAAAACCAATGCAATCTTGGATTACGTTCGAAATTCAATTGAAAATTGCTCTACTCGTGTCCTTTTATGTGCACATTCCTTTCCCCGCATCAAAAATCTAGAAGAAAGTAAGCACTCTAAACCGGCCTAAAATCGACCGTGGGTAATTTGAAGAAAAGTAATGGGAGCTCGGGGAATATTTTATGGAGCAGTTCAAAACTGCGATTAAATAAAGCACCTCTCTAAGTCATGATGGAGTACCTAAGACTTATTTATTTTCGAATTAAAATAATAAATAAAAAGAACATTCTCAAAATGTGTGTAAAATAATATTTCGCATCCAAATCAAGTGACACCTTGAATTCAGACTGCTCAATTGGTGGAAAAACTTTGCAGCGATTGTGCGGCAGCAAGGAATAGAGGCCCAGTTTTGAAAGCACAGAGACAAAACTAGTTGTGGTCGGCATTAGCCCCTGAAACCCTAAGAGCGACCAGCCTTTGATTTCTTGTTACAGTAACACCACTGACTCATTCATTAAGTTAATGAGAATACACGAAATTATCTCCAACCTAACAAGCTTTGATTGTTGAACGAATTCTCCTTGTTAGTATCAAAGGAAAGGTATAGAAAATATTATGGAGAATATGGATACTGATGTTAAGATATGAACGGGATAACACCCAGCTAACGCAAACGCTCAAGAGAGTTGGGCAAGGACCTAACTTCAGTAATGATCGTTTTTTTACAGTTTTCCCGTGCAATACAATCTAAAACTTTTCTCCCTATTAATAAATACAATAAGGTACCATTTTCTAAAACTATAGTTTCTAAAGATTAAAAATACACTCGAAGGAAAACAATTCTACTTTTAGTGGGTTGTTTGCATCCCAGCTAATGACTTGTCAGAAAACTTTAAATTCCAATTTCCTTGTCAATAGAAGCGTTACATTAGTAGCTTCTGGTAGATGACAATGGTTGACTCTGACTCGACGTTATCTGTTGAGTGTTGCATTCCTAAAAGAACCTGAAAATAAATTAGGGACATTGTTAATTCTAGTCCCTCAGTCCATCAACCCCTAGGAGCCAGGTGATTAGTATCTAATTTCTCCTTAGAGTATCACAGCTGAATCCACCGGAAATAAACAAAGATCATCATGGAGATTAGGAGTATGCAAACTGATGTTAGGGGCTAGTGTTTTACGGATTATGACTTCCACACTTCATCTTTCGTTTCCTCGAAAAGGCCTATTATTTCTAAAAAAAAGGTTGTAATTATGATAAGAATTTAAGGTGGCTCTGAACCGCATGTACTGCGTTTTTTCAAGTTTGCAGAAAATTAAATCTTGGTATGGAATAAGAACGATTTTGATTAAAAAGGTTTAAGCTTTGAAATCCAACCACAAGTATAACTAGTGCAATGGTTTTGTCCCTGTAAGTAAAAGGTCGCATCTACGTCCGTAAAAACAACAAAAATGAAATACCCGGAGACAAAAGTAAAATGAAACATATGAAAGACATACCGTCTCCCGGATGCTCGTTGCGTTTACCAGGCAATGTATAAGTAAGTCCCGTAGTACTGTTATATAACACCACCCTATCGCTGTCATAACTGGCTGCATACAGTGTACGAAGATCTGCAAAACTGTTCAAAACGAAACAATTCGATTCAACGGAAGGGCAACGGTGAGTGAAGTATGAAAGTAAAACGGAGCGTGTGCCATACTTTTTAACAAGGTTATTTTGTAAGCGGAACGTGAGGTAGGATAAATTACTTTTAAGAAAAGAAACCAAAACAGCAGAACGAGAAGAACTTGAATAGTTAAAGTGAATTAACGTCACGAATAGTTCAGTTATCGAAGAACAAGAGCTTTGGTTATAACGTCGGTAACAATAGAAGTGAAGGAAAAGATATGAAAAGATTTAACAATGAAATAACCACCAACAAACTAATAAAAGTGATAATGATATAATCAAAAACAATTTGTAACAAAGTGACAGAGGGATGATGATTACGATAATGGTCGAAAGAAAAAACAGAACAAAATAACAGGCATTCAGTTGAGGAAAAACAATGCGGTCAGTCGTCCACGTAAAAATGAATTGAACTCGTTGCTGATCAGAGGATTACTTCAGAAGTCCACAACCTCTCTTAAGGTCATTGTAACTCGGGGACCAACACATATTAAGTATACACTCAAGGTATAATTAGTTACCTGACACTGGACGGTCCTTCCAAGCCGCCACCAGCCGCATAAACGTCAATAAAATTACCTTAGGTAAACAGGAAATGAAGCTGTTTAGTGTATGATCACCTCAATTCTTTCTGTGAAGTTTTCGAATTGGTGAGGGGATTGGAAGACGACTGTTGGAGGTTGAGTTTTAAAATCTTTCAGCTTAGCATTCGATCGTGTTCCCACAGATAAAATTAAATCATGCCTAATTTCCTCGACACGCTATTTAGTTTCATGGACAATTGCTGCAGTTGATAAGCTTCTCGAACACAGGTCGGAGCTGTTCAAAAAAGGTTTTACAATATATTACTTCGCCAAGCGCGATGCTGATAAAAAGATTTGTGAAATGATCACGAGACTGAGTGTTTTGCTAATTTTTAGCGACATTTTCGGCACCAAAACGTGGAGAGGAGGGGGAGGGGAAGTAAGGCACCCAAATTTTTTATCTGGGGGAGCTATACGGCTCCCCTGCTACGCCACCTATGCATATAGCCCTGCCCTCGAAATACATAATTTTATTGAATAATTCACGGTCTTAAAAACAATCTGCTGCTCCAGACCATAAAAATTGATGCTCTCTATAGATAGACAATAGCTTCCATTTGGCGCGAAAATATGTACCCGTCCGCGGACATTTTCTGTTCCAAGATGAGAACAGTTTTCCGAGAGCGAAGTTCGAGGAAATCTGTGAGCCTCAAGGATTACAACACAAGATAGTTAGTACCTGTTTGTCCATCAAATCGAAGGATGCTGTTTGAAACATAGCTCGTCACGTAGACATTGCTGCAGTTTCAAAAGACAACGGAAAATAATGGAGTTAATCATCGTTTCCCTAAAGAATCGTCCATTCAATAAAGGAACTTCAACATCTAACCTAGAGGAGTGGTGAATTACCGCATCCGGCCAAATCTGATTCCAAAAAGACTAGAAAGGAGGAGCGCATGTGAAGAAATGGGATGAGAAAGTACACTGTTTGAGAGAATGGAAGAAAGATGAAGGGAGTGCTGGAAATGAGGAGAGATGAAAAAACAAAAGAGTGGTAGGGGTATGGGGAGGTCTTACCCGTCAGATCCAACAGTCAAACCAACTGGTTTTTCCACTGTGGCAAACACACCAAGCTGTTCACCTGCAGTACAGTAGAAAGCAACTATCAATATTCTTCTACAACTGCTAAAAACATCACATCAATAGAGGCTGATTAACACTAGACTGAGGTCACCTGAGGAAGAATTGAGTTTTAACACGTTGTCGGTGTAATGACTGCAGATGAGGAGAGTGCCATCCTTTAAGAATGCAACATCTTCAGGCCTGGAAATCAAATATAGCTGTCAAATACCTTGTTGTCAGCTAACACAAGAGTTAGTGTCTTACAAGTGTGCATGATCCTGGAACCAGCCACACACAAAGTAACTTATCAAGGAACTATACTTCACAATCCATGAAAGGATGCTGTTGAGAAGCTTGGGATGAAATTTAGCCACACTTTACCAAACAAACTTCTTATGGTTTTCCACTCTGATCAAAACTAAGATAATGATAACTATACACAGTCAAGAGCTTCTCTCTTTTTTTCACCCTAACAGTTGTACAACTAGTTAAGGCTGTGATTTTTCAGTCAGCAGTGACAGAAAAAAGGAAATTAAACAAGCCTTGGTTCTGTAAATGAACTTAAAGTACTCTCAGCATTGTTAACATGGATATTGTCATTCTTACCCCTTAAGACCATGACTTTTATCAGCTACCTACAAAGAATAAAAAATATAGCCACCTTTTTAATTCTTATTTACCACTGAAAGGAAAAAGCACTTTAAATCTGTTCATTTTAACATACAAAAAAAATGACTTACCACACCCAAGAATTTTCCATCAGGTATAGAGAATTTAACAACTTTATCATTGAGAAAGCTTGCAACATAAATAGTGTTGTTGGGACCTATGGCCATCCCCTCTGGACAGTCAAGGTAACTCTCATTACCAAAGGCACCTACAAACCTACAAAAGTCACAAAAGTTCAGGGCATACCAGCAGAGTATTCAATTTGTCTTTCCTAATTGACGTCTTACATTAAACCATGTGAGGGGAAAAGGTTATTGAGCTTGTGGGTAAAGTGTAGGTGGTAGAGCAGTTGGTGTGACATAGGAAAGCCCATGCCCTGGCTGAGAAACAGCATCTTTAGTGAATATATACAAAACTTGAGCATGCTCAGTCATGTATTATGGCCCAGCATGTTCCATATCTACACCATGTGATATGCACTGAGAAAACAGAAAACATAAAGAATACATACAAAAATTGAGCATGCTCAGTCATGTATTATGGCCCACCACATTTCAGCCATATCTATACCATGTTAAGAAAACATAATGTACATTGTAATACAATGATAACTTGGACAATTATGGGAAAAAAAGAAGATGTGCACACAGGAGGAGTTATCAGATTCCTTTTTGTTTGTTGTAATGAGGTTCATGTAAGCATCAACCTTATTCCTACAGTAGATGTTTTCATGCTGGGTCACATTTCTTCTCTTATTGCTCATGTTGTTTATAGTCAATTACCTTCTTGTAGTTAAATCATACTTGTGTATTTGATCTGTTGTGAAACTTGCAACATACAAGTACTCATCATCTGAAAAGAGAAATAAGTAAAAAAACAATCAGCAACTGTAAACACCAGCTTGCCCTGACCTATGTGTTTACAAGAAGCATTCTGTAAACCATCCCTAATGATTAAAATATTGCATTTAATCCATGATTGATGCATGAATTAGTTGTGTAACAGATCAGAATTTCATATCTGAAATGTAGAGTAAAATTATGGACAGTTCAACAGCTCCTTGAGGTTTGTTCAAACTGTTACATCAATAATTCTTGTAATAAAAACTTTGACCTGCTTCTTACCAGCAACCATTCCCCATGGACCATCAAGCCCATGGCCTTGAGTAAAAGTGACAGCAGGGCTTCCTATCTGTCTAGTGTCTGCCACATACAAAACCTGTCATTTAACATACCAAAAAAAAAAGACAACCATAACTATGTTAAAGCTACCTTATTTTAGATTTTTGGTAAGCAGTAGTTTTCTGTCCTCTAATATTAGCAAGAAATGACTTGTTCTCAACTTTGACTGGAGACCATCACAGGATACAAGTCTTACGATCCCACCTTAAATGCCTTGCAACTTGTCAAGTCCCCAAACAGGTTACTGGTACAGTACAGTACAGTACAGTACAGTACAGTACAGTACAGTACACATACGTTAATTTTATACTCATGGGTGGAGAGAGGCATTGCGAGAGTTAATCCTTCACTCCCTAACATCAGTATGCATTTTCTCCATACTGTTCTCTATACATTACTTAGGGAGGACATGTTAAATAATCAAGAGTTTCTTAAGTTGGTGATCATTTCCTACATTCTCCTGACCTTCATGTTTCATTCAGGGGTGATATTGTTTGGAGAATTTAGATATTAGTTTCTCTTTGGGGTCAAAGGGTTAAGTGTCAGCTGCCTGTGAATAAATACAATGATCCAGCCAGGAGTGAAGCTGTACCTCTCAATTTAGAGTATAAGGCCATCCTGTTTTTAACCCTTTCTACCCTAACATCAGTATGCTTATTTTTGATACTGCTCTTTACACATTTCAAGGGGAATTGGTGCAACAATAAAGAGCTTCTTTAGTTGGTGATCATTTCCTTTATTCTCATGACCTCAATGTTTGATTCAGGGTTAGTAGGGTAAGGGGAAACTAGATGTTAATCACACTTAATGGTCAAAAGGTTAAACAGGCTGATTGGAAGTTTTTAAATTTGCAACAGGAAATTTGCATCAGGAAAAAGCTGGGTGACACAGTTAAAAAAATACTAAAGCTACAGTCTAAAATAAATTACATTTTCTGAGGTGTGATAATGAAGAGGAGAGATCAATAGTTATTTACCTGGTCAAGTAAAAAGCTGATGTTGAATTCAGGCAATGAAGGTAAAAAAATGACAAGACAACATTAGAAGAATAAAGTAATTACATTAATTGTCTACCTTAACATGTCATTAACTTTTTCTGTCAGTGAACTAAGAGTCAGTCACCAATGAACAATTTTTAGCCTTAATTTCAGCTGCCCTGAATGAGAAGGAGCCATTCTAGAAATGATAACTGGGTAAGTATTATATCTCATGTGTCTACGTCTGGATGTATATAAAATGCAAAAATAGTTAAGACGTCTTGATTTTCAAAGATCACCTATAGTGAAACAGCAGCCCTTCACCAGTAAGTCACAATAAGGTTTATACCTTGATATATACAAAGTGTGTTGTGGTGTTGCCAAAATGTATGATGGCTTGTGTACTTTGTCAAGTTCTTTAATTACTTGAGTTGTTTTTCCTTGCCTGAAAAGAAATAATGGGGTAAGTTTCTAAAGAAACTGTGGTGCTGCATTGGTGGGAGAGGGTAATTTAGTATTATTAAATGAGTAATGATAACATAAATTGGCCACCATAAAGGGTCTCTAAGTTTTTAAACTCTTTACAGTGGCCAATTTACAGTTGATAATACTTAATTACCCTGAAAAGAAATAAGTTTACTTTTAACCATGTTGGACAAAATAGCACTGAATCTTAAGCTGGGGTCAGCTGGTTTCCTTTGCAGGACATGACAAGGAGAACAACTACTCCCGTGGGAATGGGATGCCAGTCAATTACAACAGTACCCCCTAGCATTCCATTCAGGGTTGCATAACAATTTGCATGTAACTATTTATACTCCTGGGTGGAGAGGTGCACTGTGAAAGTAAAGTGTTCTGCACAGGAACACCAGTTAATGACCCAACCTGGTCTCATACCTTTCGAGCCAGAGTAAAGCAGACTACCTTGGTAAGGCACATTAACTTGATATTCTAGAAAATTTTTCAGAGCAAACACTGAGAGTAAGCTCCCATTGGCTTAAAAAGATTGATTTTTTTGCAAATGTAATTAAGTGTTTTTTCTTCCATATTACTTAGAGTTGGCCAGGTTGCTGACGTTGATCATTGATGATAATTGAGAATTCAAAACACAAGATTGGAATTGATATAAATGAAAGACTTCCTCAATAACACAACGCATACCACATTAAAGCATGGATGTATGAAAAAATGGTGCTAAAACATTTAAGCCATTTCCAACTCACCATAGATAATGAGCAACTTGAAATGATGGATTAATGAAAGTGTCTGGAAGGGGAACTTGTTGGGGTCCCACAAAATAACTGAAAAAAAAGTAGACATCACATTAACAGTTTACAAAATTCTGGATTTCTCTTTTATTATCACTTTCTAGAAAGTTTTAAATATTCTTCCAACTTTTTTTTATTTTTGTTTTTCTTTTTTTTTCTAAGATAATTTTAATTAGCGGCCTCAAAATTTTATTAATTTAATTTTTTGAACCGGCATCGTCCAGTTTAAAGACAAATCTTGTCTGTTTTGAGATCTCACTTTTGTCAGATTTTGTATCACTGCATAATTAGCGAACTTTACACCTACAAACTCACCAGTGTGAAAGAAGCCACATCCAGACTTTTAAGAAAAATAATCGATATATTCGCAGAGGTGTTTGGGCCGCCATCTTGAATATCAAATATACCTGGATGTGAGAGGCCTGGATATGAGATTATGAGATTAGAACCCAGACTTACAATGGAGCGGAGGCTCCTCGCTTTTTCTCTTTTTTTGTTTTTTGTTTTTTTTTTTAGCCTAATCTCAAAATGGAGCCGACACATGTTCTGCTGGGCGCATCTATTTCGCTAGCCAGTTTCAAAACTAAAACCAGTCGCGACTTGGTCACTCCGCTGGTTAAAGCAGTTTGTGAGGTACTCTTTAAATACCCTCATTGATACATGCTTACTTTGGTTTTGTTTTTTGACGACAAACAATCCAAAAGCGCTATAAATACGAATAGGGTTCACTATTTTTAGAGCGGCACCGAACCTAAAATAATGCCCAATTGAAGCTTACGCAATCGATAAGAAGCATGGGATTCCCTTTTTTTTTACCGACGAGCACAAAAAATTGAATGGTTTGTTTGTAGGTAGAGTTTCATTGTAACTTATATTCCGCTGTAACAACACCATTCAGTTAGGACTTCATGCTCAGCTATTTGCAATGTCGATAATAGGCGACCTAATCTCTCGAAAAAGGTCGGCAGAAATGAAAGTCTAGTCGCCAGAGCTCGCATGCGGAGGGTCACGGAACATCTGAAAGCTTCCTACTCGGACAGCCAAGGAGAAAAAGGCAGAACAAATCGACAGAACATCAACATTAATAAGTTGCGAAAATATTTTATTACCCGCCATAACGATGAAAATGGCCGCACCTTTGAGCACGCTGTTAAGCTCAATTAAACATCTTGGAGATAACTTCAGAACTCATAGGAAAACATTTTCACAGAAAAAAATTTCAGAGATCTTAAGGTTGTTTTCCGCTGACTCTTGTATGCTTATTACAACTTGCTCGCTCAGTCTGGCACAAGAATTGGTAACGGTACCCTATGAAGAATAGTGATACATAAAAATATCTTTGGTAATACCCTGATACAAATTTATACATTGCAGCAAAGCTCAATCAACAATTAATTTTCCTCTCTCTCCTTTCGGGCAGTGTACCCGGTCAAATCTTTACTCTGATCACCTGATCTTACCTGGTTTTACCTGGTCTTACGCTAATTATAGCATAATCCTACAGAAATAGTAACACCTTCGTAATTGTTTTAAAATCGTTAAGCAGATTTATCGATTTCCTTTTTTCAGGCAGCTATAGAAAGGCACAACTGAGTAAATATTTTTTCACTTTTTCGGGCATTGGGGCCCATTTTGTGGGCTAAAATACGAATTTTGGTCGGCAAAAAATGTATTTTAACCCTTGCCTGATTGTTCAGACTGATTTGTTAATAATTTTAAGTATTTAGCTGATTTTCTCGATGCCCCCAAAGTGATAATTATGATAATAGAGTTCATAGTCTTGAGCATTGATTCTGTGTTGGGCTCTAAACATATTTATGCCCGTGAACTTAAACTATATTGCCTAATCGTTTCGCTGTAAGGACAATTTATATGTGCCCCCACAGCGAAAATCTTAACAGTGTACGGGCATTAAGAGACAAAATAATACTGATTTAAAAAAACTTCATGCAAAGATTCCTCTTCAATCACAAGAGAGATTTTCCTCGCTCTTTCTTTAATTATTTCGATGAATGTACTCACTCAGGCTAATGTTAAACTGTTCTGGTCCGGTCTTGCTTGAGTTACTGCAGTATGGCACAAACAACCTATTTAAAAATCAGTCAGGATATTTCCTTCTAATTTTTTTCCACAAAGTTCTACAAGCATGAAAAAGAATTTCCAATGTTTAATAAAATAAAACACACGTCCATGCTCTTTATGCAACAGCTTCGATCTGTTTAGATATGATATTCTTGTGCGATGTTATATTTATAAAGCAAAACTCTGCCACAGAGGAAATATTCCATCGTCCTTCAGACATTTTCCATCTTACGAAATCCAATTATACTAATTACAACCTTTCTGCCCAAGCTTGCGTGACGCTAATCATACAGGAAAAATATTATAATAAAAAATGAATAATGATTAACACCATTTTAACCCTCGACACAATCGACGACAATAGTTTTCCGTTTTACTTTTGCAGGCATTTTCCGAGCACGTCATAAGAAAACGCTGGAAGATGCTAGCTGTAGGTCATGTTTAGGCCTTAAAAGATGCAATTGGCTACCAATTTCAATCCTCGTGTTCTTTTGAACATCAATGAGTTCCTTGAGAAATGAATACACGGGTGTATATTTAGATTTTATAATCATGGTACACATTATTGAAGCATTCCATCTTAAAAAGTAATTACTGGCGTAATTACCTCCTGATTTGTTATGTAACTTTTCTTACTGAAGTACCGCACGAAAAAAAAAAAACACTTTATATTTCTACGCAGTCTGAAGGATTTTCATTATCTTCCGCCAGAGTCTAAAAATAAGTAGGAAAAAAATGGGAATATCACATTGCAAAGTACGTGTCTGCGCTGAAGGTGACAGTGACAGCAGCGCCTCCAACACACCTCAAAGTAAGGTCCGCCAAGAGGCAATAAGGCGAACGACAGATGGTCAAAGCAGTTCAGCAAACGAAGCAAGTGGAGACCATTTGAGAATTAGTCCCACACGCCACGAGCAGTATTTTGTGCCAAGAATGGACTGTTTGTCAATATTAGCGAGTGGAAGCAACACCACTGGAACAAAAATTCGCAAAGAAAAGGAAATATTCCATAGCGACGCGGAAATGTTTAAGCCAGAGAACAGGTTGCAAACTAATTATGGAAGAGGTATGTTGGAAGTGATAAACAAACACTTTACATATCTACCACCAGTTGAAACTGTCAGTAAATACTAACATGAGAAAATATGGGGACAATAACCTCTCCTTACTAATAAATGGAAGGTGAAAAAATATATTTTGAAGAAAGCAATATCTGGAGCGAAAACAAATGGTGTTACTGATTTGTGGATTGTACATAGTACGTACTTAAATTAGCAATGAGTTGTACAAAAAAATTAGCGTTGATTATAGTGTATAATATAATTCAAAACACAGCAGGATTATGAGTAGGAATTTTTGTAACGTTTCAATGGTATATTCACCTTATTAGAAGTTGCGTGGTAAATATCTGGCCCCGTGCGAGGAAATTGAGAGTAATGAAAAATTTTACTAGTCAAAGAGGTATTTCTTTTTCTTTTCTTTACTTTATTTATTCGTTTTCGAAACACATCGATCTTACAGTGTGTTCTGAGAATCGTATCGATCGCATAGGGTAAGTGTGATGGATGAAAGCGACAAAACAGAAACCATGCAGGTGTCCTTAAGACACACAAAAACAGCTTTTTTTTCACTGAAAAAGCTCGTCGCTTAAAAAATAAAGCATCAAAAAGGTTGACTACGATCACTGTTTGGATAGTTTAGTGCAGCCACTTTGTTACTGCACTTTCTGTCAGTATTTTCGCCCTCTATAGTGAATACCGTCGTATATACACTGCATTTTTGTTGCCAAAATATGGTAAAATGGCATAATAACCGACTGATAATGGTTATGACTACTACTGTTGTTTATTTGAAAGTAAGTAGTGCTAATTGGTTGTGTACTGTAGGTAAATAATGGTAATTAACTGACTGGAGTGCAATTAGGGTCAATTACGGGTGTTACTAAACTTCAGATCAGCAGACCGCGGAACCTCTAGAAACTCCGGAGCCTGAGGAACCCTATATATTTTTGTAAACGAAAAGTAATGAAATAAAACAAAAACTAAAAAGACTTAAACACTGTTTGAAAGTTTATTTTCTGGTTTAAAGAAGATTACTTTAAAAGAGATTTATGTTATAATTGTCTTCATGTCTAACTTTAATTGTGGCGACATTCACTGTACAATGGTATGTAATGTTATAAGGAGGGATCAGCAGTCATCTACCACGAGTACTAGTAATCGAACCATAATTTGAAAGTTCTAAATGGTTTGAGTACCGCGACATCCCAGTAACACCTCATCCGAAGGCTCTCAGAAAACCTATAAGCTGCAATCGGCGGCCTTTAATTCCATTTCACTGAGCATAACCCTAGAAAGAAGAACACGAGGGTAAAGAAACATCATCGCCTGTGACGCATGCAGAATTTCGGGGTGAAATTTTTCCTATTTAAAACTAGTTCAGATCTGTTTGAGGTTAAGAGCGGGACTGTTCATTTCCATACAAATCCTTACATTACATCCACTGTGCAACGAAAATACATTTGCATATTCATAGAGGCTCACTGTTGAGCTTGGGCAGTTGGGCTTTTTGTGGTTGGACGTCAAAGTAGATGGAAAAAAAAACATGTTTCTCAGTTAACTTCATCTTCTTTATACCTTAAACCGAAATTTCGTACAGTGTTAATGTATTTCAATTTTTTATTTATTTCATTATTATTATTTTTTTACATTAAATTTAATGGTTCCGTACGTTTGGATGGTTCTGGAGGTTCTGCGGTCTGCTGATCCACGGTTGTAACAATACCTATCAATTACCACTTTACTACATCTAATTTGAAATCGCAATGTTCAGCTGTTCAAATGCAGGTTTTTGTAGTCTACATGTTATTTAAAATATGTTATTGATCCAGTATCGGGTTGATTTATAAAGAGTTGCTAAAATTTGTCCTTCATTTTCCCGAAATTTGATTGTTTTTTTTACACAAGTCTTAAAATTTGATCGTTTGTTGAACTGTGTTTTAGTGAAGTTGTCTCTATGCGATTTAGAGCATTAAATGGTGCGATTCGTGAATAAATTGCAGCAATGAGAGCCAATCAGATTGCAAAGTTCACCAGTGATTTCAAATGGATATACTAGTTCTCGAAATTTTATGTATTGTTTTATGAATATCGTAAGAATTTTATTATAAGTGGTATTATTATTCGGTATACATTGTTAAATTTGTATATCTTTTATTTCATTGTCCTACAAAATGCATTCAGTCCCCCCTACACTCGGCTCTCATGTTTAGATTTTTAATCCGTCTCTAGCTAGGCCTCTCATGATTCCCTCACTCGTACAACAATCGAACAAAAATTAGATTCAGATAGGTAAGTTTGTTACTTCTGCCTAAAATCGCACTATTCTAGAAGGAAATACGAATATAGTA